AGGGGGTAGGGGAGGGATTGAAGGCAGGAGGGGTAGGGTGAGGGATTGAAGGCAGGGAGGGGGTAGGGGAGGTTGAAGGCAGGGAGGGGGTGGGGTGAGGGATTGCAGGGAGGGGGTAGGGGTGAGGGATTGAAGAGGAGGGGGTGGGGTGAGGGATTGAAGGCAGGGAGGGGGGTAGGGTGAGGGATTGAAGGCAGGGAGGGGGGTAGCAGTGTTAGAGAAAGTGTGTTGAGAGGCCGTGTTTACATTGGTAGAGTTGCCACTTCTCACAACATGGCAGTCCACGCGGTAATGCACCACGGTTAGGTTCTCAACTCTGGTGAATTCTTTATAGGCTGTGATTTGATTTTTAATAAATTCGTTTATTTTTTATTTATTTAATGTACATGAATACACCGCTAAAAGTGTTTATAAATCGTAAGAAAATGCCATGTTTGACTAAATTTCGCAGAAGTCCCTGGCGGCGGACGAAAACCGACTCGGGCAATGATGCAATCCCGCCCGAACGATGACTTATGATATTTAGTGGTTTACATGAATCTGGGAAAGAATCAAATATACTGACACACTGAAAGAAGGCTGATTATTTTTCACTTTGTTTTTTTACGAACATTGCTTCCTCAAGCGTCACGTGGGGGTGGGGGTGATGTGGACTGCTTCTGAAGGTAAAATGGGAATCTCCAGTATCGTGACAAAGAGAACGTTAAACACATAAACACTATTTAACTTAATATATGAAAGAAATGTAGTGAAGTGTGTTAAAGTTTGTATGCAGATCCATGACTGAAGTGCTCTAGTATTCTTGCAAGTGTGCAGTTGCTATGTGAGTAGAAACTAGAAGGCGCCTTGACTAGTTTGACAAGTTAGTGTTCATTGATCCTATGCAGTGTTTGTGTACTGTCTGGACAACAATGTCTGTCTGCTTGTGCTTGTATTTATACCAATGTATTATAGTAATTGAAATTAAAAGATGGTGGAATGTCGGTTCAGGATGTTATACTGTATAGCAAGCATAGAGTAGCAGTAGTAGTTGTTGTAGTAACCTTAGTAATGTTCGTGGAAGATGTAAAACTTGTAGGAGGTAGTCTGAAGGGCTTCCCAGAGGATTAGTATTACAGAGAGAGAGAGAGAAACTCTCTCTCTCTCTCTCTCTCTCTCTCTCTCTCTCTCTCTCTCTCTGTGTGTGAAACTTCCTTTGCTAGGGGAAGAAGAGGGGAGAAGGCATACCATTGGTGACTTTGTTGCCAAGAGGTCACAGTGTTGTAGTGGTGAATCAACTGTCCCTCCTCCTCTCTCCTCTTTCTCCCTCTCTTCCCCTCTCTCTCTCCCTCCTCCCTCTCTCCTCTCTCTAGCCTAGAAAACCCCCACACCCACCCCTCTCCTCCTCCACCTTCGAACGTCTCATCAACCTTGTCTTAGACCCAGTCACTTCAACATGTACCCCACCGCCCCTCTTTCCCCACCGCCCTCTTTCCCCACCACCTTTCTTTCCCCACCGCCCACCTCTTTCCCCACCCTCTTTCCCCACCGCCCCTCTTCCCCCCCCTCTTTCCCCACCACCCCTCTTTCCCCCCCCCCTGCCCCTCTTTCCCCATCGCCCCTCTTTACCTTGTACCCAATCACCTCTTCTCCTCACTAACCTTCACACCTGTTCCCCTGCCTGCACACCTCCCCTGCCCCCTCCCCCATGCACACCTCCTTGCCTGCCCCCTCCTGCACCCCCTCCTGCACCCCCCTCCTGCATGCCCCCTCCCCTCCTGCATGCCCTCCGCTCCTGCTCCTGCATGCCCCCTCCTGCCCCTCCATGCCCCCCCCCTGCATGCCCCTCCCCTCCTTTATGCCCTCCCTCCCCTGCCACCCTCCCTCCTCCATGCCCCCTCCCTCCTGCTCCCGCATGCCCCTCCCTCCTTCATGCCCCCCCCCCTGCCACCCCTCCCAACCTGCATCCCTCCTTCATGCCCTCCCATCCCATGCCTGCCCTCCTGCACACCCCTCCCTCCTCCCCCCTCCCCTCCTGCCCTCCTCCTGCATGCCCCCTCCCTCCTGCATGCCCCCTCCCCTCCTTCATGCCCCCTCCCCTGCACACCCCCCTCCCCTCCTGCATGCCCCTCCCCTGCCTTCACACCGTCCAATGTGATCATGAAAGTCTTGGCCAAAATCCAAACTAGGTCAGTTCAATTAGATCACCCCCTCCCCTCCTCCCCTCCCCACCTCTACCTCCTCCCCGTCTCCTTCCCCCCCCCCACCTTTCCTTCCTCACCTCCTTACTCCTCATCCCCTCAATCCTTAGCCCCCAACCTCTTCCTCACCCCTCTCCCTCTTCCTCATCTCCCTGTAGCAGGTGTGTGTGTGTGTGTGTGTGTGTGTGTGGTGGATTACAGCACTGTAGCGGGTATGTGGTGGATTACAGCACTGTAGCGGGTGTGTGAACGTAAGAACATAAGAATGGAGGAAACTGCAGCGGGCCTATTGGCCCATACTGTGCAGTCCATTTACACCCAACCCCTATTGCTCATATATCCATCCAACCTATGTTTGAAGCTATCCAGCGTATTCGAGTTAATAATGATATTTGGTAACTTATTACCACTGGTCCACTATTCTTATTTCCAAACCAATGTTTACCTTTCGCGCCTAAATCTAAATTTGTCTAATTTAAAACCAATGTTACGAGTTCGCTCCTGGTTGGATTGTTTGAGTACCTTTGTAATGTCCCCTATGTTTAGCCCAGACTTCCATTTATACACCTCTATCATATCGCCCCTCACTCTACATCTCTCGAGGGAGTGCAAATTAAGATGCTTTAACCTGTCTCTGTACTCAAGGTTCCTAATGCCCGGGATTAGTCTTGTCATTATCCTCTGAATTCTTTCCAAGGATTCTATATCCATTCTGTAATACGGTGACCAGAATTCAACTGCATAGTCCAAGTGAATTCTCACAAGCGCAAGATATAGTTTTAGCATGACCTCGCTAGTCTTGTAACTAACACTCCTGTGTATGAACCCAAGTATTTTATTAGCCCTGTTTCGAGCAAATACATATTGTTTACTTGGCTTAAGATTCCTACTTATCATTACTCCTAAATCTTTCTCGCAGTCGGATTTCTCTATAACATCGTTGTTCATATGGTATCTGGTTTCTCTGTTTACTTCTCCTAAACTGAGTACTTTACATTAGTCCACATTGAGTTTCATCTGCCATTTTTCAGACCATTCGAAATTTATTTTAGATCTTCCTGTAGTTTTGTGGTGTCCTCGTCAGATTTAATTGCACACCCTATTTTAGTGTCATCAGCAAATTTGCATATGTTGCTGTCTACGCCGATATCTATGTCGTTTATGTATATAATAAATGATAATGGTCCAAGTACTGAGCCGTGGGGTACTCCACTAGTGACGTTGCTCCAATTAGATTTAGTGCCTTTAATGCTCACTCGCTGTTTCCTGTCCTGTAACTACGCCCTAATCCATTTTAGAATATCTCCTCCCATGCCATGAGCCTCCACTTATTTTATTAGTCTTTCGTGGGGGACTCTGTCGAAGGCTTTGCTAAAGTCCAGATACACCACATCAAAATTGTGCCTCTTGTTCACTGATTCGAAAACAGCTGAAAAGAATGTTAATGGATTAGTTAGACATGAACGCCCGCTTGTGAAGCCATGTTGAGTATCATTGGTCAACTTGTGCTTCTCCAGGTGATTTTAAATAGAGTTTGAAAAGATTTCTTCTAGTAATTTGCCAACAATTAATGTTAAATTAATTGGGCGGTAGTTAGAGGATAGTGATGTATCTCCCTTCTTGAAAATCGGTATAACATTCGCTATCCTCCAGGATTCTGGTACTACATCCGTTTTTAAAGACATGTTAAACAACTTTGCTACAGCACTGTAGCAGGTGTGTGGTGGATTACAGCACTGTAGCAGGTGTGTGGTACATTACAGCACTGTAGCCGGTGTGTGTGGCGGATTACAGCACTGCATGGTGTGGCTACAGGAAATACCCGGATACATCAAGGGTTGAATACTGACCACATGAGCCTTTTTAACATTCCCGCTCCTTTACTGTTATAATGCGTTGTCTTAATTGTCGTCTGTGTGAAGAGGAATGAGAATGTTTATGATGTAAGTGGAGAATGTGGTGGTGAAGGAGGTGGTAGTAATGGTGTTAGTAGTGGTAATGGAGGTGATGGTGGTGAAGGGGTGTGGCGGTGGTGGAGATAAAGGGTGTGGTGTGGCGAATGTAATGTAGGTGATGGTGGTGAGGAATAAGGGGTAAGGGTGAGAGTGGAATCAAGGGTGATGGTGATAGATGAGGTGAGGTGGTGGTAGTGATAGTTATTATTACTGTATATATCTAGTACAAGTTTACATACTTGGACTTGAGGATGTTTCTGAGTGAATGTAATGTACAGTGGGTGTGGTGGTGGTAGCAGCTGTCATTAATTCATTAGTACAAGTTTGAGGTTCAAGAATAAAATGAGTGTGAGAGTGTGGGTAGGTAGGGTGGAGGAGGGGGGTAGGTGGTGGTGGTGACGCTGGTGGTAGCTGGTGCCTGGGTCCTCCACCACCACCGCCGCCGCCTGTGTCAGTTGTACTGAGGTTAGCAGCTCGGAGAGCCGCGTTCTCTCACCTTAGCATTTAACTCAGTTTATTACGTGCCAGTGTTACCTGTGGGGTTGTGGGAGTGTGTGGGCATGGTGGGAGTGTGTGGGGGTGCCAGGCACCAACAACATGGTTTTGTAAACATTATAGGGATGCATATTAAAGGTTGTGGAACAGGTTACTACAGGCGTCAGAGTGGCGCAACCCTCACCGGGCCAGTCATGTGGTGCATTGCGCAGCAGTCTCTACGGTGCCTGAGGGGGGGGGGGGATGCCCACACTCATGACCCCAGCATGTTGACCTCATAACGCAGGTCATTAGCGGTTACTGTACTACTATGAAAACTAGAGGGTAGAGTGATGTATTAGTTGATTTTCTCATTTAAATTCAATTTCAGTTTCAGATTACGAATAATTGAATATTTTACGAATAACATTGAAGTGAAAACGACTGTATTAAAGACCCTTACGACCACACACGAAGGATAGATCTTACTGATAAATACGCTGTTATGTGAGCGAGAGGACATGTGCCTACGAACTAATTTGGAGAGTTTAGGTGCGACAGCTCGCCCTTACGTCGTCGGCAACAGCAAGGGCCAGAAGTAAGTATGTGAGTGCCACCCCTGCCTGGCTGTCTGCCATGGTGGCACGCTTGTTGTTGTTGTGCACTGATTAGCTTGTACACTTCTTCTCGTATCAGCAGTCGTCTGTTATACCTCTCTTATGATCCACCAATGACACGTGTGTGCACCTGCCGTCAACAGATGCTCATGTTTTTTTATTCACCTCCTGTAAGACAGTGTGAGCTGTGGGCCCATGGCTGGTTTGTTGACATTTTACTTGTTCTTGTTCCTTGTTGGCGTCCCTCTAACCTCATTGACCTCCTTTTAGCCTCATATTGGCATCCTTTTAGCCTTATAATGGCGTCCTTTTGGCCTTATATTGGCGTCCTTCTGATCTTATATTGGAGTCCTTCTAGCCATATATTTGCGTCCTAGCTTCATATTGGCGTTCCTCTAGCCTTGTATTGGCGTCTCTTTAGCCTTATATTTGCGTCCTTCTAGCCTTATATTAGCGTCCTTCCAGCCGTATACTGGCATCCTTCTACCCTTATATTAGCGTCCTTCTACCCTTATATTACCGCCCCTCTATCCTTATATTAGCGTCCTTCTACCCTTATATTAGCGTCCTTCTAGCCTTATATTAGCGTCCTTCTACCCTTATATTAGCGTCCTTCTACCCTTATATTAGCGTCCTTCTACCCTTATATTAGCGTCCTTCTACCCTTATATTAGCGTCCTTTTAGCCATATATTAGCGTCCTTCTACCCTTTTATTAGCGTCCTTCTACCCTTATATTAGCGTCCTTCTACCCTTATATTAGCGTCCTTCTACCCTTATATTAGCGTCCTTTTAGCCTTATATTAGCGTCCTTCTACCCTTATATTAGCGTCCTTCTAGCCTTATATTAGCGTCCTTCTACCTTTATATTAGCGTCCTTCTAGCCTTATATTAGCGCCCTTCTACCCTTATATTAGCGTCCTTCTACCCTTATATTAGCGTCCTTCTAGCCTTATATTAGCGTCCTTCTAGCCTTATATTAGCGTCCTTCTAGCCCAGTGTTTCTCAAACTTTTTCACTTCATTCCCCCCATGAGGAACACTCAACATGGCCCCCCTTCAGTTCTCTCCCAAGCGCCTCACAAATAATGATGAAAATAAACTGTTTTGGTTCTCTTCCTTTATTTTAATGTTTACAATCATCAAACAGAATGCATATTTTGTTACAGTTCAAAGGATGGATGACATTGTTTCCTTTCAGTCAGTCGACTGATTCGAGGTTGAGTCACTGATAATGATAAAGCACCTCTCATGTCTGGGTCCACATGTAACCGGTTTCGTCTTTTATTCTTTATTTGAAGAAGGTGGAGAAACCAGATTCACATAAATAAGTAGTAGAAAATGGCAAGAGGACTCGAAGTGCAATCTCACTAACTTTTGGACATGACTGATACATTGAGCACCAGAATACAGTCAGAGATTTTTCTGGCACCAGATTCGTTCCTGAGATCAAGGAATTCGTCCTGACCATCGTCGGGAATAGCAGACAACAATGACCCTAAATGGAGAAATAATTATTTAAAGAACGTCATTGGCCAAAGGAAGGCTATAGGTAGAAGGATAAATCGTGGCGAAATTCACCTCCGGGATTATTATAGGGTATTGGCGAGTAGGGTTAAAACCGAGATAAGGAAAGCCAAGAGGAATAATGAGGTAAGGATAGTAAGGGAGGCGAAGACAAACCCCAAAGGATTCTACCAAATGTATCAAACTAAAACACGAGAAAAGATTGGACCAATACGGTCAGACACCGGCGAGCTCACTGATAACGACAGAGAAATGAGCAATAATTTGAATAAATATTTGTCAACAGTTTTCACCACCGAAAATTTAAACATGATACCCGGGGCACCGACTTTATTCAGTTATAGTGAAGAAAACAAATTAAGCGAGATAGTAGTGACTAGTAACGATGTTAGTAAGCAAATAGACAAACTAAAGCCTAATAAGTCACCTGGTCCCAATGAGATATTTGCCAGAGTATTAAAGGAATGTAAGGAAGAGCTTAGTATGCCCTTAGCAAAGATGTTTAGCATGTCCTTAAAAACAGGTGTAGTACCAGAATCCTGGAGGATAGCGAATGTAATACCGATTTTCAAGAAGGGGGATAGATCACTATCCTCTAACTACCGCCCAATCAGTCTAACATCAATAGTAGGCAAATTACTGGAAGCAATCATTTCAAACTCTATTCGAAATCACCTGGAGAAGCACCGATTGATCAATGATTCCCAGCATGGCTTCACAAGCGGATGTTCATGTCTAACTAATCTATTAACATTCTTTTCATCAGTTTTCGAATCGGTGGACGAGGGGCACAATTATGATGTGGTATATCTCGACTTTAGCAAAGCCTTCGACAGAGTCCCCCACGAAAGACTAATTAGAAAGGTAGAAGCACATGGCATCAAAGGTAATATCCTTAAATGGATTAGGGCGTGGTTACAGGACAGGAAACAGCGAGTGAGCATTAATGGCACTAAGTCCCATTGGAGCAACGTCACAAGTGGAGTTCCCCAAGGCTCAGTACTTGGACCATTATTATTTATTATATACATAAACGACATAGATATCGGCATAGACAGCAACATAAGCAAATTTGCTGATGACACTAAAATAGGACGTGTTATTAAATCTGACGAGGACTCCACAAAACTACAGGAAGATCTAAACAAATTTTTCGAATGGTCTGAAAAATGGCAGATAAAATTCAACGTGGACAAATGTAAAGTACTCAGTATAGGAGATGTAAACAGGGAAACCAGATACCAGATGAACAACGATGCCATAGAGAAATCCGACTGCGAGAGAGATTTAGGAGTAATGATAAGTAGGAACCTTAAGCCAAGTAAACAATGTGTTTTTGCTCGTAACAAGGCTAATAAAGTACTTGGGTTCATACAAAGGAGTGTTAGTTACAAGACTAGTGAGGTCATCCTAAAACTGTATCTTGGGCTTGTGAGACCACACCTGGATTACGCAGTTCAGTTCTGGTCACCGTATTACAAAATGGATATAGAATCCTTGGAAAGAATTCAGAGGAGAATGACAAGACTAATCCCGGGCATTAGGAACCTTGAGTATAGAGACAGGTTAAAGCATCTTAATTTGCACTCCCTCGAGAGACGCAGAGCGAGGGGCGACCTGATAGAGGTGTATAAGTGGAAGGCAGGGCTAAACAAAGGGGACATTACAAAGGTACTCAAACTATCCAACCAGGAGCGAACTCGTAACAATGGTTTTAAATTAGACAAATTTAGATTTTGGCGTGAAATAGGTAAACACTGGTTTGGAAACAGAGTAGTGGACGAATGGAACAAGTTACCAAATATCATCATTAACTCGAATACACTGAATAGCTTCAAACATAGGTTGGATGCTTATATGAGCAATAGGGGTTGGGTGTAAACGGGACTGCCCAGTATGGGCCAATAGGCCCGCTGCAGTTTCCTCCATTCTTATGTCCTTATGTTCCTCACCAATTTCCCTTCTTCCTCCTCGAATTCTGGGAAGTACCTTTTGAGCTCACTTTCCAAGAATTTCAAGTGCTGAATTATTTCATTTTTGAGTGATGGGTCAAGTAGATGATCCTCTTCAATCTCGTCAAGAACAATGGAGATATTCTCAAACATGGCAACATTTCCTGCACTGACTTTCTTTTGCCAGTTCTGGAGTTTATCGAAAAATCCACGAACACAATCCATGTGGTGAAACACATTTCTTTCCTTGTCTTGTAGCTTGAGATTCAGCCTGGGAGCCACTTATAAAGCGATGACACACGGACATGTACAGAACATGTGCGATCAGTGACTCAGTCCAGCGCCCGTCACCCTGCTGACAGGAACTAGAATCGTGCAATCTGAGCGAATCCGTTGGAATTGAAAAACTAGCTGCTGCACCATACTGTGTAAATATCAAAGCTGTACTGTATGGGTATTATGATTACACATAATGACAAAAAACTAATAATAATAATTTCTCCCCTAACAAGGCAAAGTAAAAAATAGAAAGTTAAATCAGTTTCCACATTTTCCCCAAACATATACTACTTACACTAGCCCGCCATGGCCCCCCTAAAATCTTGCCGTGGCCCCCTTGGGGATCATGGCCCCCAGTTTGAGAAACACTATAGCCTTATATTAGTGTCCTTCTACCCTTATATTAGCGTCCTTTTACCCTTATATTGGCGTCCATATAACCTTATATTAGCGTCCTTCTACCCTTATATTTGTGTCCTTCCAGCTTTATACTGGCGTTTCTCTAGCTTTATCCGTGGGGGCGGGGGAGACCCCCCCCCCCGATCTTTTCACTGTTAATTAGGCTAACTTAACTAATTTACAAACAAATAAAACATACAAGGAAAAAAGTAAACACAAAGTCAGTTATTTTCTTGTACACGCAGTCATAAAAGTATCTTTACGGAAGGATAGTACCGTAAAGATGGATGGATGGTGGACGTGTGACTGAACCAGGGGCAGGTTTAAAGAGAATCTGAGACTTACGTACATTCACCTCAAGGCCGAAATGTGCATACGCATCTGCATAGGTGTTCAGGATCTCCTGTAGGTCGTGTTCAGTGTGAGCAACAAGTCTAACACAAAACTGTAAGGCTACTTTTTTGTATGTGTGTACAATTCTCATAACTGTTTGAGCTATGAGCCAGGGGAAGGAGGGAAGTGAGTGTAGGTGTTTTTGTTGTTTTCTTAACGTTTATGTATGTTTAGTATTTATATATTAGTTATGTCTCGAGGTGACATATACTGAGCGACATCTTCAAAGGGGGTCTTGCATTTACAGAAGAGTGGGAGGGGCGCTATATTTACACAGCCCCGTCCCCCTTCCCTGCCCCTCCCCCCTATAGAAGGATTACATTCTGTGCTTGTCACCAGAACTAATATATCATACGTGTAATGAACGAATAAACCTACATTAGTATAAGGGTCTAGCCAATCAGTATAAGGGTCTAGCCAATCAGTATAAGGG